GTAAAAACTTTGGCTCCACCATGTGATGAGTGCTGATAGTATGCATTTTTAAATTTTCTACTAAAGGTTAAAGCTTTTATTAGATCATCACAGAATTATCACTAATCACCAACTAATACACGTAAAGGAAAACACCAATTCTTGTTTCATGCGAGGTTATTACAGCGTTGTCCCTTTCTACATTATGCTTGGCTTAAACTTAATGGTTTGTATGACTGAGATACATACAGAGAATAAATGTAACACTTTGAGACAGATTCGTGTAAAACATGAGGAGAGCACAGATTTTATTGTACTATTGTACAAATATTATTGGAAATCTAAATGTTGGTCAACAAGCTCCAAAGCATTTATTATCATTGCATTTGAAAAGACAATGAATTTTAATTGCATCACCAGGTTGCCGACCAAACGCACACAGTTATACGTGTCTCACAAAGTCCACTTACTGACTTTTTCACACATGTTAAGCATATAACATAAATTATTGATGGATTGATGTCACCTTACACAATATAAACTATATTAAAATACTACTTAGAAGAACTGCCTGCAGGGGAGTTTGTGCCCTTCGTGTTTTTGTATTGTTGCTTGATGTCTCTGTTGGTTCTCAGTCATCCAAAACACAAGCCGAGCAACAAAGCATACGCTGTGCAGTGCAGAGAGCTCTACATTGGAGAAACCGCATAGCCACTCGACAAATACGTGACACAACATAAAAGAGCCTCCTCGACAGGACAAGACTCAGCTGTACATCTGCACCTAAAGGATAAAGGTCACTCTTTCAGGGATGCCAATGTTCACATTTTGGACTGAAAAGATAGATGGTTGGTTTGAAAGAGGAGCAAAAGAGACCATCTATGTCCACTGTGAACGACCACCTTTGAACAGAGTGAGCGGCTTACGACACCAACTGTCAGCTACCCACAATGCAGTCCTGAGATCCCTCAATAGGTCACATGATAGGGTAAAGGTCTTACAGTGGTTTCATCCAAAACCTTTGGTAGTAATGGCACACGCCTTTTTACACATTATGGCTAATGTCATGTCGCAGATGATTAATAGTGGGTCAATGATCACCTCCTAAGGGACAGCCCCGACTAGGGGTTAGATAACTGGAACTTTCCACCTGATGAGAGGTAAAATGTCTTCAAAAAAATTAAAACCTTTTCATGATCTTAGATCTCTTAAGTCTCTACTATGATCAACAGCTGAGAACAAACAAGCCAGTGTTTTATGCATAATACAGTTTTCCTTTCTCGATGACGTCTGTGCAGCTTAGGTAATGTCACATGGTTTAGAGGTTTAGCAGCTCAGTGAATACAGGATATAGTTTGTGGTTTTAATGTCATGACAACACAGAAAAAAGTAACCACGATGCTTCACTGTGTTTTTATCTCAAACAAAAGGCACAGCCCACGTCTGCTAAACAGAACACAAGGAAAGCACCATCACTGACCAAAGCCTTTTATTCA